GAAAGTAGATCCCTCTAAACTTCTCCCAACTTCACAAAAGCATTTCACATTCACTCAGACATTCAAAAAAATAGCTTCACACAGGTGAACTAGAGCTCAACATACACACAGCACATTAAGATTATAATTAGACATATTCATACCAAATTCAAGTAAGTGGAGGTAGAAGAATTTACTTATCAGTAGAATTTTGGAGTGATTGAAAATGTCACGGAGTCATTACAGAACTCTGTAAACAAGATCTGTTTGTATAATAATATTTACCAGCTTTGTTTAGCTCTGACTAGAAGATTAACCTATTATGTATATCTTTAATTCCTTCAGTCCTTGCTCTCTTCTCACAGTCTGAGAGGTCCTTTGTGGTTGAGGTCTTTTGTGGTTAAAAGATAAAGCCCTTGGACTCATGGTGTACTCTGTGGTGGTAGCCATTAACCATTCAGGAAAAGCAAGAATTTTCCACGTCCTTCATGACCAGACTGAATGAAAACATTCACTGTTCGAGCCTCATTCAAATTCCAGAAGTGGAAGCTGATCATCTGAGAACCATCAGATAATGACAGGCATCGCCATCACAACAGTGACTACCTGTTATGGCATTTGGGACCTTTGATCCATCATTCATGTAGCTGGTAACATGTCTGTGATGTCAGATCTTGGCAGGTGACTATGAGCACACTGGGGGGGGGGGAGAAGATTTCAAGTGATATCATGCGTTCAGTAGGAAGGAAGGAACGTATGAACCTGTTAATTGGGTTTTCCCCAAATTGTAAATTACATTCGCATTTCCAAATATTTGTAGTTGTGGTGAAATATGAATTCTAGCCATAGAAATGCATCTCTCTTATTCTACTTGATAGTTTCTGAATTTTGAGATTATTATTTAGTTTCATTCCTGCTTCTGACTCTTGACCAAGTTGTTTTTGTTTTGCTATTTTATTTTCTGTGAAGTGGAAATAATAAATGACGTAAAAACCAAAGATCTAGCATCTAGGGAAATAGCTGACTTGTACATGCCATGCTTGCCTCATAACCATGAGCACCTGAGTTTTATCTGTAGAACCCTGAACAGAAATGTTGGCTGCTGTGGTACGTTCTTGTAATCCTAGCAACTAGGATGCAGAGACAGAATGATTCTTGGGACTAGCTGGCAGTCAGGGTAGCCTAACTGGTGAGCTCCAGGTCAGTGAAAGACACCATATAAAAAGAGATCACATTCCTGAGGCTCATAATTGAGGCATTGTCCTCTGGCATCCACATGTTGGTTCACAAACATGCATCCACACAGACATTTCGAACACACACACACACACACACACACACACACACACACCACATTAAAAATAAATCTGAGAAATGCATCTCCAAAAGAAAGTTCTTACTTTGAAGTAAATTGACTCAAGCTGTGAGTATATTTTCATATTAATAACCCAAATTTAAATAATTGATTTTTTAACAATGACCTTGTAAATATATAAGTGTAGTATATCACTTACTGAGTTCCTTACTGCAATTTAGAAATTTGAGGTTTTTTCCTATAAGACACAGGGAGGTTTTCATATCTATAGGTTTATCGAATCTCAGATCGAGACACTAGGAAAAAAATAATTGATCCTGTGCTAAGTGTTCCCAGACTTTTTCTTGATATTACTTCCAAATAACATAGTATAACATGGATTTACATTGAATTATGCTTCATAAGTCGTCTTCAGATTACTTAGTAAGTTATAGACACGCCTTACACTATTATACCTAAGGTACTTGAGTGACTATGCATTTCACTATTTCAGGGATCCCCAGAACCCCAAAGCAATAGCTTTATTTTAAAGATACATGAACTATATTAACAAATTACTTAAAAGTTTTGTTTTTTGGACCTATAATACATTGTCAGTTATCACGCTGAACACTTTTATTAGATACAAGGATATTTGGCCAACTTCAGAGATAGCAGTCAAAATCCAGTGTTTCCTGATAGAAATCTGTCTTTGAATAAAGTAAATAATTTGGAGTATGATTAGATTTTCATAGATGCCTAGATCACAGGCTCTAAGAACATGAGTAGGTATGCTGAATGGGCAATGATGTGAAAAGTGTGAAAATAGTTATGCTTATAGGCAGAAAGACATGCAAAGCTCCAGCTGCTTCATCACTTCCTAGGTAAATTTATTACCACTACTCTACTCAAATCACTAATGAGAAAGATGATTTTTTTTAAAGACTCAGGTTGTGTAAGTGCTTTGTACCTAGAACTGATGGAAGTAATTGGTCAACTGCTTAATCAAGTCCCACTTGGAACCGAATGGGAAATGGAGGAGAGAACATGTAGGCTGGGCGAGTAACCCAACAAGTCGGCAGAGCGTCTTTTACAGAAAGAAACAAAGATAGCAGTAATTAATGACCCTGACTCGGTGCCAAAAAAGCTTTCTTCTGACAACTCCAACTTAATTAAAAGTTAAGACATTTCAATGGCCTCAGAAAGCCCCCGATGGGGCGGACTCTA